TATTTGTTGTTGTGTTTGTTCTTTCGCAACTTCGATATCCCATTGATCATTCATTAACGCATTACTTGTTACATTTTCTTTGAACAATATCTTATCGCATTGTCTCAAACGATCTTTTTTCCACCACATCAGGATCGTCTTGTTCCATTAGTCTTTTTGTTGGTTGTGAAATTTGAGGTTCTTGGAATGAAGGCGATAAACTATTCGATTTACTAGGTGGTGATAATTCTCCGAGATAGTTTGACGCATCGCTATATTCAGGTTCCAATAAATTCCGATTACAGAATAACGACAACAAATCCAATCGATCTTTTTCATTTTCATTTAATAACAAGTTTCCATAATCAATCAGATCAAGATATTCTTTTATCGCATCTTTTTGTTTTAATTCTTCGAGCAACTGTTGATTAAATGGTCCTTCTTTTTTGCCAACAATCATACAATACAGAACACAACCAACACTCCACGCATCACTTTTGTACGAATATTTTGGAGAAGTCTTCATTGTTTCAGGTGCAAGAAATTCTTTTGTTCCAATTGAAGGCTCTTTAATTTTTTCAGCGTGTTGTTTGGTGACACATAATCCAAAATCAGATAATTTACAATTTCCATTGTGAATTAAAATGTTTTCGCATTTAATATCTCTGTGTACAAATTCGTATTTTTCTTCAATATAAATAACTGCACAACATAATTGTTTAAACAGTTTATTACAAATAGAATATAAAACTAATCCATTAGAATTTCTTGGAGCGGTTTGTAAATAACGATCAAGTGTCTGCTCTGCATGTTCAATAATGAGATACCTTTGTGAATTGACAAAATAATCACCTAAATATGATATGATATATAAATGATGTACTTTTTTTAGCATTTTAATTTCATGCTCAAATTGTTTGCGTGCTGATGTACTTCCATTTTTCGATATCTTAATCACAACTTCTCGATTATCAATTGTATCTCTTCCAAGATGTACATGAGAAAATGCACCAGCACCAATTTCTTTTCCTGGAATAATTCGCATCTTCAAATCAACATTACCATTATACTTCTCTTGAGAATAAATACAAAATTCATATCTTTGAAATACTCCAAAAGATTTGATCTCTCCTTCTTTTATCACTGTTTTTTTAGATTCTTTGACATCTTTAGTGTTTATGACCTCTATTTCAATTCCTTGTTTCTTCCTTTCCAATTTTTGTTTCATTGATTTTGATTGTAATATAAACTCCTCTGACTTATCATCACTTGACACTTTCTCGGAAATAAGAAGTGTCATTTTCTCATCACAAGGACCACATACTTCTGATCCCATTCCAATCTCTAATTGTGTTTTTACATTTGTCGAATGAGACTTCGAATCATCTAGGGTTGGATTTGTGTATGTGATGTCAGTTCGATTAAAACATTGGTCAGAGCCTTTCTTTCTCCAAACTATAACAGCCATCACACCAGCAGGAGCCTTTTTGATGTCAATCGTTGGTAATGTCGCAGTCTGTGTGTCAACATCCAATAAAGAATATTCACTCATCAACTGCCAGTTCAATTTTACAGTTTTTTCTTACGAATCTTATTTAATAAAGTTTCGAATTTTTGGCAAATTTCTTCTCAACAATTCGC